ATAAGAAAGAGTTCAAGCTGTTGACTTGGCCTCCAAATTCCCCAGATCTCAATCTGCTCGAGTATCTGTGGGACGTGCTGTTCAAACAAGTCCGATCCATGGAGGCCCCACCTCGCAACTTACAGGACTTAAAGGATCTGCTGCTTACGTCTTAGTGCCAGATACCACAGCACACCTTCAGAGGTCTTGTGGAGTCCATGCCTCGATGGGTCAGAGCTGTTTTGGCAGCACAAGGGGGACTTACACTATATTAGGTTTTAATGTTACTGATCGCTGTAGGTATAGGCTGCAGGATTGGGAGAAATTCTGAGCTGATAGCAACAATGCAACAGTATGCTGAAGAACAGAGCTTGGAGGAGATTAGTACAGCCACCTTGCATGCAGAAACAGATCATGATGTACTGTCAGTGGCTGCTTCTGATTGTCTGAACTTGCTTTGCTCATGAAGATCAAAATGTAATGCACACAGTGACATGGCTGAATGGTATCCTGTAATCTCTTTTCTTTCTTTCTTTCTTTCTTTCTTTCTTTCTTTCTTTATTTTTATCTCATAGCAGTAGGTGTAGCTCACCTAACTTTAGTAATTATTAGTAGAACTGATGGCTCTTCTGGGATGAGTGATGAAACATCTCCAGGGTTATAAAGCATGATCAGGTGCTATTACTATGAGACTTTTGTAATGATGCATGAACAGAGCAGGAAAATCCCACACATCAGTGCCATCAGTGCGTCATCGTCGAGTCCCTACGTTTACCTAACACACTGCAGGGAGACCTGACTGCACACAGATAACACACAGCAAACTGCTACAAAACCCCACATTGCCCTCAGCCAGCAGTACACACGTCTTTTCATTGCCCATTGACGTCATTAGGTAATGTTCGCACTGCTCTTCTTCACTGCTTACAAACAACAGAACGAATTCTGCTATCAATCAGTCATAAGCGCTTCATGTGCTTGGAGAGCTGTACCTTTTTATTTATTCTTATTTCATTCTTGTTTTGATCAAATTATTATTATTATTATTATTATTATTATTATTATTATTATTATTATTATTATTATTATTGCTGCTTATCACAAATGTGAATATCAAGAGCAAAGAGGCCACATGCCCCTAGAAAGATCATCATCATCATCATCATCATCATCATCATCAACAACAACAACAACAACAACAACAACAACAACAACAACAACAACAATAATAGGCTAATAACTGATTAAATTTAAAAAAGGTTTTGCTTGTGGAGTTCTACATTCTGTGTTCTTTTGTGCTTTTATCATTATTATTATTATTATTATTGTTATTATTATTATTATTAGTTGTAGTAGTAGTAGTAGTAGTATTGTTTATCACAAAGGTGAATATCAACAGCAAAAAGGCCACATGCCCCTATAAAAATCAACAACAACAACAACAACAATAATAATAATAATAATAATAATAATAATAATAATAATAATAATAAATGATTAAATTAAAAAAGGTCTTGCTTGTGGAGTTCTACACTATGTGTTCTTTTGGGATTTTCATTATTATTATTATTATTATTATTATTGTTGTTGTTGTTGTTGTTGTTGTTTATTTGGACGTCAGTTTTCTGGACAGTGGGTAAGTTTTGAAGCTCTTAAGTGAATAAATGAAATGATCTGTATGGGAAGAGATTCAGAACTTAACTGTTGCACTGCATCTTTATTTTAGGAATAAAATTCGACGTGGAACGGAAGCACTTGCTTTAATTTACAGTGATTTTGGATGAAAAGCATGTCACACACTGAGCACAGTCAGCACAGCAGGTACAGATGTTTAAGCGCTAGCCACTGCAGTCCAGCGCGACCGGTGCCGTCCAGCATCACATGACCTCATGCCATACTGGTGCAAGCTCCGCTCTGATGCTTACTCTGTGCGCACTGACTCCTCTGGAACTAGCCATGGCTTTGCTGAGAAGTCTCTATCTTCTGGAGATCCTTGCCTTGCAGCTGGTGTCACTTTTCAGCGTGTTGCCCGCTGATGTTTCCGAAGCTCCAGATGCGCGCGTGATTACAGATGTGTCCAAGCAGCTCTCGTGGAATGACGCGCTCCAGGTCCCAGATGTTCGGCGTCACGTAGCGCGCAAAAAAGCGCCTCGCTTCATGCTGGAGCTGTACGAGGAACATGTGAGGAACCCTGCGATTCCGCAGGGGAGCATCGTGAGGAGCTTGGCAGGTGCGTAAAAGCCTCAGCAGCACTCAGACCAGTCCACAAAACGCCATCTGCCATTAGTGCTGCATCTTTTCTCAGACACTCACACACCTCTTTTTTTTTCCATGCCCTTTCGCCATTCTGATACAGCCGTTTTGTAATATTTTCCAGCGCAATCGAATGGCGCGTTTCACTTTTTTAACCTGACATCATTCGGCCACCGAGAGAAGATCACCAAAGCGGAATTCCGGTGGTTTCGGCGCGCGCACGCGCCTTTACCTGGACATCACTTTTGCAGAGTAAGTTTTAGCTTAGTTTATTGTGAAGTAAGAAGGATCAGACTCACAGCTCTCTCTGATGTCGGGTCTTAGGTGGATTTGTATGAAGTGCTGGACAGCAGAGTGAAACCATGGCGAGGAAACCTGGTCCTGTCACGGCTACTGTCTGTGTACACTGAAGGATGGGAAGTGTTTAACATCACAAAGACGGTGAGTTACACACATCTGATACATGCACTTACTCCGAGACTGACACACAGATATCAGTGGGGTTTGGATACTTGCTCTCGCTCTGCCATGTGAAGAGTGCATCAGGGTAAAGTAAGTGGAACTTCTGTTAGGGGACAGAAGTACTGACATTCTGAAAGCGTTTGCGAGCTGTGATATCTACCAGAGCGGGTGTTACGAAGTACTGACTTACTACAGTTTCAGACTTTCGCACAAGCCACAATTACTATTTTTTTTCCTATTTCTGTAAGTTCATCAAATGTAAAGTAACTATGCATTAACATTTGACCTTCTACAGGTATCAAAGCTCAAATCAACCAGCATGATCTGTGAAATGTTTCACATTATTTTTCTTTATCTGTCCCTCAGTCACTCATGACAATGCACATATCTCTTACATACTGTATATTTATGACTAATACTTACATATATTAGATTTTATATTATATTTTTTCTATTAGAATATGGTATAATTACCATTCATACTGTTATCTACTCAACAGCTACTTCACTTATTCATTTATATATATACACACACACACACACACACAGTAAATAAATAACAAGACAATGGGTGGTGAATATGTGCAGTAGCTATTGAGTAGATAACAATGGATAAAAAGTGTGGTCTCGGTGACTTTGCTCGTGGCATCGATGTTGGTACCAGAAGGGCTGGTTTGCGTATTTCATAAACTGCTGACCTCCTGGGAATTTCACACACAACAGTCTCTATAATTTACACGGAATGGTGCGAAAAGCAAAAAACATCGGAGCATCTCCAAAATGGCAGGTCTTATCGGGTGTTCCTGGTATGCAGTGGTTAGTACCTACCAAAACCAGTCCAAGGAAGGTCAACGGGTGAACCGGCGACAGGGTCATGGGCATCCAAGGCTCACTGATGCGTGTGGGGAACGAAGGCTAGCCCGTCTGGTCCGATCCCATAGAAGAGCTACTGTAGCACAAATTGCTGAAAAAGTTCATGCTGGCTATGATAGAAAGGTGTCAGAACACACAGGGCATTGCAGCTTGCTGCGTATGGGGCTGCAACATGGATGCACTACGGGAACAAGGCAAGCCGGCGGAGGCAGTGTGATGCTCTGGGCAACGTTCTTCTGGGAAACCTTGGGTCCTGGCATTCATGTGGATGTTACTTTAACACATACCACCTACCTAAACATTGCTCCAGACCAAGTACACCCTAATGGCAGTGGCCTCTTTCAACAGGATAATGTGCCTTGTCACACTGCAAAAATTGTTCAGGAATGGTTTGAGGAACATGACGAAGAGTTCAAGGCATTGACTTGGCCTCCAAATTCCCCAGATCTCAATCTGATCGAGCATCTGTGGGACGTGCTGGACAAACAAGTCTGATCCATGGAGGCCCCTCCTCGCAACTTACAGGACTTAAAGGATCTCCTGCTAACGTCTTGGTGCCAGATACCACAACACACCTTCAGAGGTCTTGTGGAGTCCATGTCTCGATGGGTCAGAGTTGTTTCGGCGGCACAAAGGGGACTTACACAATATTAGATGAGTCAGATGGTTTTAATGTTTGGTGTAGACAATTTATCCACTGTTCCATCTGAGGAACATTAACACATTAAAGCATCCAGGTGCACTGATAAATTGGTCAAAATATTATTGTATGCATTTAAATAATGAGCCTAATATTTAAATCATTAGATTATGCCTGTAAGAGAAATATGTGCTGATGGGGTCTACAGAATCTTTTTTCCTTACAGTTAACCCTTTCAGCTTTTTTCTCTGGGTGAAAAATGTTTGAGAATTTAAACATATTATTTTTTGAGTCCACTGGTCCCCTTAGTAAGATGGGTCACTGCAAATCAAACTATTCTGACTGAGAAACTTTATCATTTATTCTATAAACTAAGGAAAGAGTTTAAAAACTGTCACGGAATACCTTTACTTAATAAACATTAGAATTGCATCTGTTTTGACATATTGTTTACTGACTAAGCAACTTAATCCACCTCTGGCTGCAGTTACACAGTCTTGACAGTAGGTGGTACTGCAAGACCCTCAGTACACCTGCTCCCCCACCCCCTGCCATTTTGAAATGTAATGTAATGTAATCCGACCATTAGCCTGTGTGACAAGTGAGCGGTACAACATACATTGTTGTTCTTCTTATGGCTGCTCCCGTTAGTGGTCGGCACAGTGGGTCACTGGTCCACATATTTGATTTGGCACAGTTTTTACGCCGTATGCCCTTCCTGACGCAGCCCTCCCCAGTTTTTATCTGGGATTTAGACCAGCACTGGGAGTGTACTGTCTTGTGCTGGGGTTGGTACCCTGGCAAGGAATCAAACCTGGGTTGTGGAGGTGAGAGCGCCGAGGCCTAACCACTGGTCCTCCAGGGACCCTGAGCCATACAACATATAAATAGTCTATAAAAAGCATTTAGGCGTGAATATCCTCAAACTTTGCATAGTTTTTTTTGGTAGTCAGTCCCACAATTTATAGATCCACATTCACACTCCAGTACACTAACAGCACAACAAGGCTGACATAACTGTATGTTTGTTGTCTCAAATGTATATCAGGTCACCAAATGGATTCTCAACAGCAGTACAAATAACGGCATCCTGGTTGTTTCAACTTTAACATCGGGTCACTGGTTGGAGACAACTGAACAAAGTGCGAGAAAAACAGGCTATGAGGAAAATGATGCCTATTTGGTTATCTACTCAGACGATGGTCGAAGAGGCTCTGGTAAAGGTGAGCTTTTTTATTACAAAAGCCCTCTACATTGTCCATATCAAATTTAATCTCTTTTTTATATAATTAAAAAGGTTAGCGTTGTACTACAAGTACAGTAATAATTTCACACAAGTGGACTTTTAGATGCCGGACTTTCAGTTTTATCAGAGTAGCATGTCTGAGGTCATTTTTATGATTCCACAGGTGAAGGAGTTTCTCCATCAGGTCAGAGCACTGACTCACCCTTAGAGTACAAAAGCTCCCTCCAGGCTGCGGTGCGAAGGCGCAGGAGTACACATCAAAGGGCAGCTGAAAATGAGCACGCTGTAAATTGTCAAAGAACACCTCTCTATGTGGACTTTGTAAAACTCGGTTGGTCCGGATGGATAATATCACCAAGTGGCTACAATGCCTACCATTGCACTGGGTCCTGTCCATTTCCACTCAGTGGAAGCTTACGTGCAACTAACCATGCCATTGTGCAATCCATAGTAAGCACATTAAAACTGTCCAAAAAAGTGGCAAGGCCATGCTGTGTACCAGACAACCTTCAACCTATAAGTCTGTTGTACTTTGACGATGAGGAAAATGTTGTTCTCAAACAATATGACGACATGGTGGCAGGCAGTTGTGGCTGCCACTGAATGCACTACTTCTACTACATCTGTTGAATTTTTAATATAATCCATAGGGAATGATATAGGCGAATAAAGAGCAGTGTGTTGCAACAGAAAACATTACCATGATGTTTGTGTGAACAACAAAAAATCTGTCAGTCCAATTATTTTCAGCCTTTTCAAGCTTTTATATGAAAAAAAAGTTTGAAAGATATTACCCTTTTACCCTGTAGAAGAGATGAAGTTAATATGTATATATAAAATATATTAAATAAATATAAAATGTATCGTATATATAGTGTACTGGGGCTGAATTAGCATGTTATACCAACTCTGAGCACTAGGGGCATCTGTTTTTCCCCCTTCGCCTTTGTGGGACCAAGTGAAAAATTCAGGGGAGCGAAATGCTAACAATGGGTATGTTATACCAGTTTCCACCACAAGGGGCCACTGTTTCCTAAATATTATCTGCAAAGAAAAAAGTTTAGCTCATTGTTTATAATTACCACATGGGTTTTGATGATGGACTGGTTAAATATAGCAGCATATTATGCTTTTGTGTCAAAAATAAGTGTTGCAATGTGAGATTACTAAAGCAACTACTACTACTGATCTAATACATGTGTGCAGACTTTAGGCTATTTTTTGTTTGTCCTCATGTACCTGTGTACCTTTGAGCTGTACAGATGCAGATCTGGTATCAGTCAGATTAACAACCAAAAGGCATTTTATTGTCAAGAACACAAACACATGTTACTTAAATGTGGAACAATGTGAAATCCAAAGTGACTAGCATTTCCCCTTGTTAGCTAATGCTTCTGAACACAATTCATCAGTATCAGTTAAAAGGAAGAATTTGTCTTTGTCAGTAATCTTTTGCTAAAGTGCATCAACTTTTGATTGCCTATAAATGGCCTGTTTTTCCGACCATGATTCCATGTACGTGAGTAGTAAAATAAAAATAACCAATCACAGCATGTCATGTTTCCCCTCCCACACACCCAGCTATGATCCAACAGGAAATGCTGAGTCAGTTTGCGCTCCAGTCCCTGTGAACCCAACTAGCAAGCAGCAACGCTAACAGGATTATCACTGCTTTCGCTAATGTTGGTACTGTGGGTACCGGACTCCATGTTTGGTTTTCAGAAGCCAAGTCCTGCCCAAATCTGCCCTTTTATTGGGAAATACAGACGGGTGGCACATTTAAATGCTTTTTTATGCTGTGGGGCATTTATTTTGCTGGCATGGTTTGGGTCCACTTGTCTCTTTAGAGGGAAGGGTCACTGCAAAATCGATACAACTTTCCTCTGACTGATCACCTAATGTTGTGGGATTACGAGCAAACAAGCAGCACTATACTTTACAGCAATGTTTGTGCAACATAAGGGTAAATGCAGCTGTGATACAAATGCTTAAAATGCTTAAAATTACATTGCTCAAACCTGGGCAATAACAGAATGTGACGTACTTAACCAAGATACCACGACTAAGTGGAGGACCACTTCGCTTCAGGTTTCCTTCTTTATTTTGCTCTTTTTTATTTTTCTTGCTTTCCAGCACTTTTAGAATCATGCACGCTCAAGGCTCACACCAACATAAACACAGACACACAGTTCTTTACATCTCTCTCTCTCTCTCTCTCTCTCTCTCTCTCTCTCTCTTTTGGCTCTTGTCTCTCGGCCTAGGAAAACTCACCCACAGGTGCAGCCTCATCCTTACCACTCACTCTCCCGACTCCACCCTCCATTCATAAACCGGCGCTCGACCACATCCCTGTCTCCACATGCTGATAACTTTCTTCATTCAGGATGAGAATCATTCGAAGTGCTCATGCTGTTCAACATTGAAAATTAGAATCAGTCAAGGCTTTGGTACTGTCTCTGTGCTCGCTCTATTGTATGTATGTGTAATGAAGCAACATTCAGTCTGTAAATTCTGAAGGTAGATGGTGAGCCCCTTGCCACCATTTTGCAAACGTCTGAAAGTGACACTGCTTATCGGACCACAGAGGAGGCTCCCCAAAACACAGAAACCACTGATCAGTGACCCATCAACTGCTAGTCACTTCCACATGCTAGCACTTAAGAGCCCTCACTGGATACAGGGCTGGCCTGGGGACTTTATCATCTCTTGATATTCTTATTAATATACTGAGATGCTAATACCACTGGAATGCTTGGTTTGGCCACAGTGTGACATGTTTGAACTCCAGTCCCCAACGCTTGAGATGCATGCTGACCAGTAACACATGCAATTCACCAACTCGTCTTGCTATAGTGATGGCCTGCTTCCGTTAGCACCCACTGCTTAGCACCAAGTCTGGAACCCGATGCCATCGCTTCGTGTGGTGGTTGGAAATGTTCCTGGTGCTCAGATAATGTTGCCACATGCACCCTTGGAGAAGACCTAGAAAGAGATGCTTCTAGCTGGCTCCCCCTTATGGTTGAAACTGGTATATCATGCAAATTGTTAGCATGTTGTAACTCCACTGTTTGTTTTTTTCCACCTGGTCCCACAAAGGATAAAGGAAAAAATCAGGGACTCTTTGTGGTCACACTTGGTATAACGTTAATTGTTAGCCATCTGTTTTTATTGCATACACAATAACAAAAAAAAACTTGATTTGGCAAGATGCTAGCTTTTCCCCCTTCTCTTTAGGGCTTACATATACTTTAGTTAATGCTCAGAGGTAGATACCTCAGATTCATATCACTGAGAAATTTCAGAAGGCATTAATGTGTTAAAAACGTCTGTGGAAACATGCTCAAAGAGAAAATGCATAACACAATTCACACCTAAACATGGACAGTGATTGATCTAAGCAGGGGTTTATTTAGACCAGTCACTTAAAGCTGACCATTCTTACTAAATATGAAATGTTAGACATTTGTTGAGAGTTTTATTGGAATGGTTTACATTTATGAAGCCAGCAAAACAGCCCCATGAAATCAATTAATCATTTCAAAATACACAAAATATTATATAAATACACCAAATACATAGTTAATGTTCAATTTAACCTTTAAATATGCCATTTAAGACATACAGCCACTACTTTCACTCTTCTCTATTTAATCAGTGCATTTTGTCATTTGCAACAGTAAATATGGCAAAGAACGTGAACATTGTGATTTTCTTTTTAAATACACTTGCAATAATCACTGGGAAAAGCAGTATTTTTAGACATTCTTGTAATAACATAATAACCCAATCAAACATCACAAAATACATTAGAAATTACCAAAGGCCAATACCAAAGGAAGGAAGGTATTAGAGTATTTTAGAGCTAGAAGCAAAACATGTATAAAACATGTATATTCATCTAGGACAAAAATACTAATGCCTGAATTCAGACTCACTTAACTCCAAGACCATTTATTGGTCTATAAGGTAATTATATTCATCTTCATCTATTTTATCCTAACACAATCAAATTCTGATTATGTTTAATCAAAAGTGCTCTTTTAATACACGCACAGCTCATTGGTAGGGATGACTCTCTCATTTGTGCTTTTCATAAAGGTCGTCATGCATTTCTATCTCACTGGCTTGAAATAAGTTCAAGTAAGCAGGGGCAACAACAGAGTCTGCTTTAACAGTGGATTCCGGTTATGGTAATGATGAGACAGGCACTGGAACAAAGCCATGATATAGCATGAGTGGAGGTGCGTTCACAACTTCTACAGATTGTGCCCGTGGTACAGAACCTTCAAGTGACTGAACTGGCAGTTGGACGTAACTTCCTGTCTCTGGATCAAAGAAGGTTTTCGTCTTGACCTGTACTGGCATGTCCACCACAAAGTACTGTCCAGAATCAAGATCCTGCAGAAGCTTCCTCTGGGTCATTGGGAAAGACTGTGGTACAATGTTATTTGTTGGAGAGCCATAAGTATGTTCAATGCTGTTTCGTCGCAAAGGTGCTGTCTGTGCAGTGGCAAGCTCCTTTAACGCCTCAGTGTTGGTTTTAGAGACAGGATCTTCAGCGCTAAGTAACCTATGCTCATGTTTGCCACTTGAAAATCTGTCCAAACTATGAGTCCTGC